ACACACACACACACACACACACACACACACACACACACACACCTGTCAGAACTCTGATCTCAAGATCCGGTTCTGGTCCCTCTGGATCTTCACGTTGAAGAAAAGAGCAGCAGATGTTTCCAGAACCAATCAGAACTTTCCTTCAAACAGAACTTTAACTCAGTTTGGATCCAGGAGGATCATCCACACAAACCGGGGGTGGTTCTGTTTGTTCTCGGGCCACAGAACTCTTATCATCAGGAACACGCTGCACTCAGAACCTCTGATGGTCCGGTTTGGTTCTGAGTCATCGCCAATCCAATTAGAGTCAAGTATAAAGACAGGGTCAGAGTTCTGGATGAGTTCTGATCCAAACAGCTGGTGTATCTATGGGTCCAAAAGGTTCTGGTGTGTCTGTGGTTTTGGTGTGTCTGTGGATCAACTCACTCCGGACAGTGGCGGTTCTGGTACAGTTGTAGAGAATGGCCAGCTCTCCGAACACTCTTCCTGGTCCCATGGTGCACAGCTTCATGCCCTCTTTGGTCACCTCCACCTTCCCCTCTGCATCAAAGAACACAAACGAGCTCAGAGGGCATCGTGGAAAAGGAAGTCTCAAATATTGTTTGGTAAAGTCTGAATGTAGAAAATCTCTTTTCTGTTCAAATCTCACACAAAACCAAAAGATTAAAACTAAAATTATCACACTATGATGGTAAAAGATAAAACTATTTTAAGTACATAAAAGAATGGTGAGAAGATAAACCTGGGAGTGATATGTCATCAGGACGACAAAATGAAACCACAATAAGAAAATGAAATCAGTATAAGATAAAAAATGATGAAAAAAGAAACCACGATGAGAAAATAAAGCCATGATGAGAAGATGAAACCACGATGAGAAAATAAAGCCATGATGAGAATATGAAACCACAATGAGAAGATGAAACCACGATGAGAAGATGAAACCACGATGAGAAGATAAAGCCAAGACAAGAATATGAAACCACAATGAGAAGATGAAACCACGATGAGAAGATGAAACCAAGACAAGAATATGAAACCACAATGAGAAGATGAAACCACGATGAGAAGATGAAACCAAGACAAGAATATGAAACCACA